GGACTTTGCCTCCGGGTTCTATCCAAGGCACTTGGTCTAAGTGGAGTCTAACCACCGCTTTAAGGTAGTTACCTCCAGGAATTTTCAAGATGGCATTAAAAAAACTTTAAAGAATGCATGCAGAACATTTAACTGGAAGCAGAGCATTGTACTGAATTTATTCTTAAGGGTGGTTAGCTAACTTGAAATGGAAGCCATATAACACATTTTCAAACCACCAGGTTTTGGGGCTGATGGCTTTAGTTCAGACTTCATTCTGCCAAGTCTCACTTTCACGAGTTAGCAGGACTACTCTTCTCCTCACGCTGTCCAGTGGATGATACCCTCCCCATTAGGAACAAAAGGGGCCCTTCTTTGGAGCTGGAGCTCAGTAAGCTAATGCCTGTATTCTGGGCCAAAACTATCACCGAGTTGCCTGATTCCAGTCTACGTACCATGTGTTTGAGGAAGAACCATGCCTGGCTGCAGCTCCTGAAGAAACAAGTTTTGCCCCCAACAGAGCCGATCACCACCTTCTGACTTTCCTCCTATGGGATGCAATTCATGAAAGCGGTCTGATTCAGGATTGTTTTTTTTTTTTCCTTCTAGTTTAGAAATGGGAAAGGAAGGAGACAGTGTTTTCTTGGTAGACCAGAAAGCCCAGCCTTCAAGATACAAGGGCGGTACTGTCTCTGATTGGGAAATGGCCAGGTCTGGGGTAGGGGAAGGAAAGAGGGAGCAAGAGGCAGATACAGCTGGGCTAGGACAGTTGGGGTGTGTGTGTGTCAAGGCATGAAGATCTGTATACATCTCAGCATGATCCAGGAATGACAGAGTTGCTTTACAATGCTAAAAGGGGCCATTTCCTAGTTTTATCCTAATGTTATTCTGAAAGACTTTTTAGAGCCATTTTTTCGTTACCCAAAAGCACTGTCATCCATTATTTTCATTCAGCTTCTCAATGATCTCTGAGGTATGAATAGTATCTTTCTTATGCCCAGAAATCACAGTGTAAAACGTTAATTGCCCTGCCCCAATAGTGACAGAGCTCAGTCCTCCAAAGTCTCAGCCCATTCAGGCCAGTGGCTCGTCTAGCCAGACTGACTGTGGAATATTCGTTTTGGGGGCATGAAAGGATTTAGTTACAGCTTTACATTTCATCCACAGCAGTGCCTGGGATTGTTTGCATGTGACTTTGCTAGGGAATATCTTTGGGGTCACTGTTGTCCTAGGTGGACAGAATTCTGGGCACCCATGAGGCTGTTCTTCATACCCATCGTGCTGTATTGGACTCTTCTCCCTAACCCCGACTGAGGTGCCACCCTCTGTAGAATCCACAACCTGTCCCCCAGGTCAGTGCAGCTCATTCAGTGTGGAAATGGAATTACTGATGACCATTCAGGGGTCAAATTAGAGATATGGCTCAGAGCTAATGCCTAACAATCCAGCAGGCTCAGCACAAAGCCACTGGCATACACAATGAGATATGGCAATGTCACTGGGGCCTAAGAAGCACAGGTGCTGATGTGCAAACCCCTCACTCTAAGTGGGCAGATTACCGCCCCTCCCACACACCCCACCAGGATCCTTCCCCAAGGCCTTCTTGCCAGAGATTCCAGCCCTCTGCTGCTTATCCTCAGGTATTGTTGGCTCTACCTACAAGCAGGGGAGTGCTGTCACTGAAGCCACCTGGACGGATGGGTGGGCCAGCTAGCCTCTCCTGGCCCCTCACAGTGGACCCTGCAGCTTCTGGGACAATGTGCTGCTGGTTAAGTTTAACGGCCTCACCTCAGGTCACTAAGGAAGACCCCCAAGAGTACCAGGAATTGGTTGTATTTTCCTAATGCCTACACGTTTTAGGCAACGTCCCTGCTGCAGCTCTTCAGACCTGGGAATGTTTCCTCCTCAGGCCTAGACACAAAAGGAAAGTCAATGCGCCTGGCTGCTCAAAAGGTGTCCTTTGACGAGAACTCAAGCCTTTCCCAAAAGGTAGCTTTAGCCATCATCAAAGTCTTCCTGAACAGTAGCACAGCTCAGACTAGTAAAAAACTCAGGTCTTTCATGAGGATGAGACAAGCTATGAGTACCCATCCTTAAGAGACTAAAAGTCACTTCTGAATTCATTCATATGGCAGCTGAGTGCCAAAAAAGGGGCACAGATCTAATCACTCTGGGGGAGAAATGACTGCCAGCTGCAGTGGTCAGGATCAGCTCCAAAAAATAGCAGGTTTAATTAGAGCAAAGTCTCAAGGGAAGGGTAGACTGTAGAGGGGGAGGGGACATCCCCAGGGAGTGATCAGGATGGGCAGGAGATACATGCAGACAGCCCAGCAAGGAGCAGCCTACAATGGCTGAAGCCAAGGATCCAGGTGGATAAGGCTAGCTTGGGGCCAGATTATGAAGGGTTTTAAATGTCAGGCCAAGGAATTTATCAGGAGAATGAAATGATCAAACAAGTGTTTTAGGAAGATGAATTTCAAGAGAGTGTGCAGGATGAATTGGAAAATCTGGAAGCATGGCAACAATTAGGAAGCTGTGAGATTAATTAGGCTGTTGTAGTAGTCCTGTGTGAGTTGATAAGGGTGTAAATGAGCATAGTAATAGCAGAAATGGAAAGGGACAGCTGCAAGAGACATTGTTAAGAAAGAATGGATGAGATTGCTGCCTGATTGGATTGGGGACCCAGGGAGCTCAAGGAGTCAAGATGACAGCAGTTTTGAGTGTGGGCAACTGGTAGTACAATGAACAGAAAAAGGGATGTTAGAGAGGGAGGTGTTTCAGCAGATGTGAATTCAGTTCCACACATGGAGAATGTGCATGATATCCAAGTGGAAATGTCTGACAGGTCACAGGAAATTTAACACTAGAGCTCAGGAGAGACAGTATGGTTGGTGATGAACTTGGGAATCAAATGCAGAGGTGATAAATGAAGTCACAGAATGAATGAGATCTCTAAGGAAAAGCATAAGCAGTGAGACAGAGGACCAAAGCATGACCTTTGAGGAATGCCCGCATTCAAAGGATTTATAATCACAAAGCTGAGTTTAGAAGTGCTACCTACATGCTGCATGTCTTCACCACTAAATATCAGTTTAAAGTGTATATCTGAGAAAGTCAAGCAACACAGCATTTTTATGTTACAGTAGGAACCAAATTATAAACATGCCTCTAAACAAATCTGGCTCAAGAAAAGGCTGATATTCATAGAGAAAAAAAGAATAAGTGATACAGTGAACATAATGTAGAAGATTAGTGGATTTGATCCCCCAAGGATGAGTCAAGCAAAGAAAATAAAAACTTGTGAGAAATAGTTACTGATTTTAACACAAGCACCAAAAACTTTACCATGTTTGCAGTGCACTGTCTTCCTGAAGTATGAATTCAAACTAATTCATCAAAGTATTTTTAATAAAAGCTATAGTAAGTATATGCTGGCTCAAACATTTGTGAAGACAAGTTAATAAATGAAAGCTACCCAGAGTATAGTAACCCACACCACCCTTAGTATGCAAACAAAATATCTTTTCTTTTTAATGTGTACCCCTAGTCTTTCTACGTGAAATATTTGCCGTATATTGCATTTCTGACACATAAACTTTTCTTAATATAAGAAATGACACATCATTTTTTATTCTTTGTAATTGTGAAGTAGACACACCAACTTTTGAAACAGGAGACTTCGATTTTTACATGTTCTTATATTTAACATGTTTAATTGGTATTTTATCATAACAAACAAATTTAACATACATCAAAAGCAGTTAAAAGATAGAAACTTCCTTTCCTTTGGACATCTGACTTTTAAAAAACAGGAACAAGATTTACAAATTATACAAAATAAGCTACATATGTAATACTGACACGGAGTTACTGAGAATATACTAGTTTTAGTTGTTTCCAGGTAAAGCAGTCTCTAGTAACATGTCAACCCAGAAAATACATGCAATTGCTAACTAGCCTTAGATATACTACATATACATGTAAGAAAATAAAGATGGAGAGTCAAGCAAAACTTACAAACTTGGTTATTTCATACTCTCCAGATATTTTGAACATATCTAAAAAATTTAAACATAAGATATATGATTTTAAAGGGAACTCTTAATACAATATTATGGAACAGTGAAACTGAGTTATTAAAACCAAGGCAATTGTTTTCTTGATGTCTTCAGCCTCTTAACTAAGACCTAAATAGTTTAATTCTATCAGCTAAATTTAATCCAAGAGTTGACTTTTTATTTTTATAGTTGTTTATTTTTTAGTTTACAGTCTTTTATTCCTATCAAGTCTTTGAAAACGGTGTGATTTTACACTTATGGCACATCGCAATTTGGACTAGGCGTGTTTCAAGTGCTTAACAGCCTCAGGTAGCTGCTGTATTGAACAGCACAGGTTTAGAGAGACATATAAAGAAATGCATGTGCCTATGTGATTTCAAACCATGGTCGGTGATATGAAGCAAAGGTGAAAGGTACCAAGAGAGAAAACAGTCAGGGGATCTGCGGGAGGTGGGAATGGAAGGAGTGGGGGGAGGGAGAGCTTCTTTGGGAAAGCAACATTTAGGCAGAGCCTAGAAGGGTGCTGAGGAGGGTTGGCTAGACCAAGAGTGGGGCTGGAGTGTCTCAGGCAGCGGGAGTGCACGGAGGCCCTGGGATGAGAGCTGAGAGAGGGCCAGTGTGGCTGGGGCGTGGAAGGAGAGGGGCAAGGCAAGACTGGAGTGGAGGCAGGGGCGAGGGGGGCAGAGGGAAGATCAGGCAGCATCTTTCAAACCATGTTCAAGACTGTGAACTTCATCAAGAGTTGACTTTTTAAACATTAATACCGTCAAATCTCTTCCAATAATATTTTTTAAATGCACATGAACTATTATTTAAAAGTTTATCTCATTTCTTTAAATATGGGCCTTGGGCTAATTTGTTGAACACTGGGGTAATATAAACATTAAAAAAAATAAGCAATTTGCTTTTTAAAAAAAATTATTTATACTAAATAACTCAACTGAAAAAACAATTTTTGTGGGGAAGAATCAGGCGGATGATTCTTATTTGGGGGGTTACAGTGAAGAAGGACTCAATTAAGGGGGAACTGCACTGTTTTGGCCAACAAAAATCTGAAGGATTGCAGTTTTTTTCTGAAATGATAAAGTAATGTTTCTTGGTGTAGAAGATATAGGGCATACTTTTACAAAGAAGTTTCATAATAGCTAATTTTTTGTTAAATCTAAACAGTCTGTAACATACACATATGTATCTTATTTCAGAAGAGGCAGTAACTCAGATACTTAGATTCAACTTCTGATTCAGTCAAATGGAGTCCAAAAGTTTGGAATTAAATGACCCACTACTCGCCAAAAATCCACAAAATATTCACACCAGACAGACCAAGATTAACTCTCCTATAAAGAGAAAAAAAAAGTTTTAGTGGAATTGATTGCCCAGCATTTAAGGTCTTTTTTCAAATAACTAAAATAGGAGTCTTTACAAGGGATACATGTTTAATTAACATTTAGTGCTTTTCTGAAATAAGTTATGTTACACATGGTTTATTAGGTGAATCTAGAAACAGTAATTACTTTCTTAACTGTGCTTAAAACCCAAATTTAGAATAAATGGACTTATGGAGTGTTGAAAATTAATTTTTCAGTGGACCTCAAGAATTATTACAACAGATAGAGTTAAACAGGACAATTTTAGCAAGTAGGATTTAAGTAAAAGTGTCAATTAAATTTTTAAAAATTGAGGAGTTAGAGATGCTAGGCCTCTAAGAGAATTTTACCTGTTCAAAAAAGATCATTTCATCAACTGTGTTTTCCCATTTCACCATACCCTCACCAACACTGCAAATGATAAATTTCAATTTGATAGAAAAAATGTTTTAATTCTGGCTTGATTGTATATGAGACTAAGCATCTTTTCATGTTCATTAACCATTTGCACAACACTCTTCTATGAAAGTCTCTCGTGTCTTTGACCATTTCCTATATTTTTCTTTTCTAATTAACATATATGCTCCTTATACATGATGGATATCAACTTGGCTTTGCTCTAAATGTTGAAATTATAATTCTTTGTCTCAGTTTGTCATTTAGTTTTCAACTTTATTTATGGTGTCTTTTGCTAAACAGGACACAAATTACTGTGCAGTCAATTCTGTCTAGATTTTTTTCCCTTTTGGATGTAAAACTTTCATCTCATTCCACTACCGCACAAATATGTGGCATTGAACTGATAATGGATTTGTATTAAACTGCTGTGTTATGGGCATGATTCCAAATGGTCTATATTTGAGCCACTTGCTTATTTCCTTTAAGCAAAGGAAATTTCCTTCCTTTAAGGTATAGGAGAGCAGTTTTTAACATTTGATTGTTCTAAAATGTATTAAAAAGATTAATCATATTTTAAGTTAATTTCAAAGACTTTTCCCTTTGTTAAAAAAAAATCCCCAATAAATAAAACACAGATTAGTTTTAGTCTAAAATGTTTCATTTTCCACATGTAAGTTCCTCATTCAGAGAAGATAAGCACTTTAAATATTATACCAATTCTTTTGGGCCTCTGCATAAATTACTGCCCCACTAAGATGTTACAGAAAACCCAAATGAACTTTTTGGCCAATCCAATACTTTTAAAGATTTTACATTTTTATGTATATGACAAACTATATATGGTACTCAACACAAGCTTCACGCTATCATGACAAATCACTTATGTATCAAGTATCAATTTAGATTTTTAGAGAAAAGATAAATTTTCAATTAAACCCAAAAATTCATTATTTATTTAAAATACTTCTAAGTTAATTCCTCACTTCAAAATAGTCTTCCAGAAACACTGTTAGGAATTACAAAACAATATATTTATAGCACATTCCATCTTTCTAATACATGTATATCTATCTAAATACTGCTAGAAAATTTAGGAAAAAGTCTGTATTTACTGACACAGAAGAATATCCAAGATATACCATAAGATTAAAAGGCAGGTCACAGAGTAATATGTTTGGGTACAATATATTTTTAAACAAAATGAAAACTAAAAACAAAATCAACTTTCCCCAGAAAGGAGTCTGAAAATGTACACCTGAAACTGTTAACACAAAGGATACCTCGAGGGAGAGTTGATCAGAGGGGAGTTTTCAATGTCTAGTTTATACACTGCTATATTGTTTAAATATTTCTATATTGAGCATGCATTATTTTTGTAATTAAAAAAATAAAGAAAAAAGAGCCATGGTAGCATAAAAAATCTTTAACTCAGTATATCCAACGCATTATTTCAACATGTCATCAATATACAAAATTATTAGAGATATTTTACTTTTTCTTTTTTGGTACTAGGTCTTCAAATTCTAGTCTATGTAGTTTACACTGACAGCCCATCTCAATTGGGACTAATCATGTTTCAAATGCTCAGTGCCACATGTGGCTGGCGGCTGCTGTATTGGACAGTGGAGTTCTAGAACCTGTATAAAACAGGGCACCTATAAAACTGAAAAGAAGCATGCATACCAAACTGGAACAGACCCCTGATGTTTTCTATTCAGCCCTTCCCTTTACATTTTTTTAACCTCAGGTTACTCAGTACAGGCAGAGATGGACCCAGAACCCAGATTTTCAGACTTCCAGTCCTTGCATTCCCAGATTTACCCAGCATTAGCTGAGGTCCATTTACTTCAAATATTATTTGAAGGACTAAAATTTCAAATCACCTAAATAACAAGACAGCGATTTTGAGTTTATTGTAACAGTATGTGAGCTTCATTACTAAGTATTTAGAATAAACAAAGTAAACAATTTCAACTGACCATTTTTCCATCCCAATTAACAATATTATGGAACTGGTGCTGACTTAGTCTCTCTGAAAGTGTAAACATTTTACAGAAGGCTTTGTGTCTGAAATGGGATAGCTTGAATAAATAGGACTCCAGTTTTGTTTTTGTTTTTGTTTTTAAATTTTAAAGTGGCAAGAGCCTGATACATCAGGGTTGTTCCTCTGGGGGACACAGCTGTAAAGCCAATGATGTGGTCAAATTGCCTTTTTATCAATGGGGAAATGGAGGTTCCAAGGAATTACTGTAATGGACTTGCTCAAGATGGCAAAGCTGGTTAGTGACAGGGCTGAGCTAGTACTAGAAGCCATATCTCTTACTGTTCAGTCCACAAATCTTCAGTATATGATGCTGCCTTCTGCAGAATCTGAACATAAGGAAAACAGTATATAAGTTAAGTACTTGTATTTTTAAAGCATAAGTACTTACCCAAGCATTCCTGACTCTTTGGTCTTTATGATGTAGAGGAACATTAACAACGTATGAAACATATTATTTCGGCCCTGGAACAAAGACAAAAAATACAGCAAGATTTAAACCTAACGAAACCAAACCATTCAGCCTGATAGGTAAATGCGATCCTATCAATTTATATTCTACTAACTCGGAATTCCATGTAATTCAGCCTTTCATTCATTCATTAAACAAAGTGCCCACTTTTGTGCTAGGAAGTGGGAATACTGTGGTGAATAAAACAGAGAGGATCCATGTAGTTGAGGAGCTTAAGGTCTAGTAGGAAAGGCAGATGGGAAACTCAGAATTACAATAAAGTGTGATGAATGTTATGAGAAAGAAGAAGGTGTAGGGTGCCATGGGAACATATGCATTAAACCCAGAGTGGTGAGGCAAGCAATGCCTCCCTGAGAAATTTTTAAGTTGAGACCTGAAAGTTGAGCAGAAATAAACACGTTAGGTAGTTCCCATACACGGGGGGCAGCATTTATGAAGGTCTGGATGGGAGCTATTCTGAAGCTGGTACCCCTGTATCCTACACACAAAAAATACTCTATCCCCCAAATTAACAGCATAAACAACAGTGTTGGAATTAAAAAACCTTTAATCACACTTCAAAATACATTATGATATATGTTAACAGTGTAAGTAACATATTAAATGTAAATTAATTTTACCTACAAGGGACGATGAGGCAGCATTTTGCCAGCACTAAAATCAAACTATTATATGTAATTTCTGGTCTGTGAAATAGCTCCTGATTTAGATTTTCAATTTACTGATTAACTTATACCTGCTTATTCTGATTTAGTGTTTTTACTAAAAAAATCTTAGGATATATGATTTTTAAAGACAGTGTTTCTTTAAAAAAAAAAAAAAAAGGATTTGCATGGAACTTGAATGGCCCAAAATATTTACACTTACAAAGTTGAAATATTAAACTTAAAAAAAAAATGAAATATTCTCTCCTGGGTAACTGATGAAGTGAAGGATACAATTTATTATTACAGTCTATGTAAAATTTCTTAGTATAGATGCTGGTAACAAAAATAACTGCAACGGTCATCAACAGAACTGATGTTTGTAATCAAAAGTAAAATACCTGAATAGAAGTGTAAACTGGTACAATCATCTTTTTGATAACATATTTTAACAGCCTTGAAAATATTCTATAACCTAGAATTCCATTTTTGGACTTCAGGCTAAAAAACTACCCAAAATGCAGACAGCTATATGCATAAAGGTATTTATGATAATGAAGACTTAGAAACATCCAAAATATCTAACTGTAGGGGAGTGGTTAAATAAATTATAATTTTATTGTGAAGTTTTAAAATAGCCATTAAAAAGTGTTTTAATGAGGATTCTTAAAGGCATGGAAAATTATAACATTAATTTTAAAAAGGATATAAAACTACATAAATAATATGATTTCAACCCATAAATAAGTACAGGGAAAGACCAAAATGAAATTTACCAAAAAAATTATACCAAATGTTAACAAGAGCTTCCTGTAAATAATGGAATAATGAACTTTTCTTCCTTTTCTTCATACTTCTCCAAATTAAGCACATATTACTTCTAGAGTTTTAAAAAAAGGGATACAAAACTAGCACTTTTTCCCTAATTTAAAAAGTTTACCTATTCCATAAACAAGAGAATCTAATTTTAAAAATATTAACAAAGCAAGTCATCCATGACATTAGTAATAGCAACTGCTACATTTAGAATTACCTTTGGAAGACTGTAGACATGACGCTGGTAGATTAGCTCATAATGGGGAGGGTTGATAGCACTCTGATAAATGCAAAAAACATTCTCATTTGTCACGTCTGTAAAGGAAATATGCTACATTAAAAAAACAAAACCAAACCACTAGATGTATTTCATGTGAAAAGCTCAATTCATCCTTTTAAGAGAGGTTGTTTATACCTGGTTTATTCGGTGTCTGAACGAAGTGCTGAGAAGTAAATGTTTTTCCATCAGGGTATTTAGGATGTGGAGGTAGTCTGGAATCAAGGTAGGTGCAAAACACATGCATGATGATCTGAAGATAAGGAAACAATTTTTCAAAGTCAGCATGAAAATTGATCAAGTATGTATGTGGTACTTTTAAAACATGTTTATGACTCCAATTTTTAAGTTTTTCCCCAAAGAAATAATTAGCAAAAATGTTTTCAAGTGGTTATATCTGTAAGATGAAATCTATGAAATGAAAAGATTAGAGCAAGACATTCCTAGTTTTCTGTTAAGGGCATCATTCACACCCATATAGGTAATTAACAGCAAAATCAAAATAAAATACACATACATTCAATTCTGAATTTGAGTATCGGCATTTAAAACTTCATTTTCACACATAAGAGTCACTATAAAAAACAAAACACACATAATTTTGAAAAACTCTTAAATGCTCAAAAACTTTATACTCTTTGATTTCATAAATCTAATTCTAGGAATCTTTATTAAAATCATAATCCTAAATAAGAAAGAAACATGCATTATGTTACTCCTGGCAGTATTATTTAAGACAGAAAAACAAAAATCCCTCCCCCACTACATGTTTCCCAAACTTTTAGGTCCAATATAGGAGAACAGTTAAATGACAGTGTGTAATAGTGCAAATAACACTGAAAAGTGAAAAAAAGCAGGAGACATAATTTTACATATGGGATTATTATATCTGTATCAATAAAAACATTAAAAATAGCACAATATAAGTAAAAAAAAAAAAAGAAGAAAATATACCAAAATATTAACAGTGGTTGGGTTAAGGTGCTGGTACAAAAATTTTTTATTTCTACTTAGTTTCTAAGTTCTTTTTATTTATTTTATTTTCATTTTTATTTATTTATTTATTCATTTATTTATTTATTTTCTTTTTTGGCCTCACTGTGTGGCTTGCAGGATCTTAGTTCCCTGACCAGGGATTGAACTCGGGCCCACGGCAGTGACAGCCAGTGCTGAGTCCCAACCACTGGACTGCCAGGGAATTCCCTCCAAGTTCTTTTTAATATTCATTTTTATAATGGAAAAATAAACCCAATAACAAAAATGTCAAACTGAAAAAACAAAATAAAACTGGGGACTTACAGCAGAATCAGTGGGCAGGTCTGTATCCCACTTGCGGCCTTTGAAGTCTCCACCTCTATTCCATCGAAATGAGCTCATACAGCCTCCTTGGGAAAGTTCTGTAGCAATAAAGGTAAAATAAAATAAGCTAAGAATATACAAGAAAGAAGGAAAAAAAAAGGCTAAGGGGGGGCTTCCCTGGTGGCGCAGTGGTTGAGAGTCTGCCTGCCGATGCAGGGGACACGGGGTCGAGCCCCGGTCCGGGAAGATCCCACATGCCGCGGAGCGGCTGGGCCCGTGAGCCATGGCCACTGAGCCTGTGCGTCCCGAGCCTGTGCTCCGCAACGGGAGAGGCCACACGGTGAGAGGCACGTGTACAGCAAAAAACAAAACAAAACAAAACAAAAAAAGGCTAAGGGGTTACAATAAGGAAAGTATAACATCTAAAAACCTGATTAAAACATGCAGACAAAGAAATACAAGATATAAAAGATTAAATAGCACCATGGGGACTTCCCTGGTGGTACAGTGGTTAAGAATCCACCTGCCAAGGCAGGGGACACAGGTTCGAGCCCTGGTCCAGGAAGATCCCACATGCTTTGGAGCAACTAAGCCCATGCGCCACAACTACTGAGCCTGTGCTCTAGAGCCCACGAGCCACAACTACTGAGCCTGCGTGCCACAACTACTGAAGTCCTTGTGCCTAGAGCCTGTGCTCCACAACAAGAGAAGCCACTGCAATGAGAAGCCCGTGCACCACAACGAAGAGTAGCCCCCACTCGCCACAACTAAAGAAAGCCCCCGCGCAGCAAAGAAGACCCAGTGCAGCCATAAATAAATAAGTAAGTAAGTAAGTAAGTAAGTAAGTACGTTAGTCATGATAAATGTTTATTCCTTTTTTTTTTTTTTTTGCGGTATGCGGGCCTCTCACTGTTGTGGCTTCTCCCGTTGCGGAGCGCAGGCTCCGGACGTGCAGGCTCAGCGGCCATGGCTCACGGGCCCAGCCGCTCCACGGCATGTGGGATCTTCCCAGACCGGGGCACGAACCCGTGTGCGCTGCAGCAGCAGGCGGACTCTCAACCACTGCGCCACCAGGGAAGCCCTGTTTATTCCTAAGTAAGTCATGATAAATGTTTATTCCTAAACCTCAGTCCAAACCTAGACTAGAGAAGGGGCAACATTACATTTTCAAATTAAGATTTATTATAAATCTAAAGAGTGAAATACTATTTCTAAAACTTGTTTTAGTGATGAGAACATTTTACAGAGTTTATCCAAATAAATGTAGGGAGGCATAAAGAGAATATGTGGGAGTACCAGGGAGGCTAAATTTCCTGAGTCTCAAGTCGGTCTCCTCAGAAGATCGTATTTCCCCCAAATAATCAGAGTATAACAGCAATATAAAGAAGCAACATATTACATATGACTTATAAAAATCAAAAGAAATAGGATCAGCATGCTGAAATTATAAAGAATGTCATTGTGGCATCCATTCTTGGTAGCTTAAGAATAGAAAATGAGTGAAATATTCATGTGAGCCCATTTAGCTCATATTTAAGTTTCCCTATTTAGAACAAAATTAGTAATTAATGTATTCAAGGCTAACTACATTATTTTGACCATTTTTAAGTATACAGAATATAAAGCTCAAAAGTTGTTCAAGTATAAGCCTTAATAAAGCCATAATTAAATACATATTTATAAAATAAGATCATACTTCAGTGATACTTACAATTAAAAAAATTTTTTTCCCCATATTACCTGTATAAAATTTCAAACTAGTGAAAAAGCTCACATTTTTCCCCTCTTCTAATCAATACTTACCTTTGATCCTTTCAAACAAGTATTCCTGATTTGGCGTGAGGTCTAGATACTGCACGATTGTATTTAGAGTTGGAATGAGTGGAGCTTTGACCAGAGCAGCCTGCTTCAAGCTAGTAATACTAGCCTCTGTTAAAATTAAAACACACAGAAAACAGATTTTTCCTCATGTGGATCTTTGAAAAAACTTCAAATGCTCTTCCTTCAATAGATGTTGAAGGAATAAAGGAAAGCAATGACAGTTTATCTTAACAAGCTGCATTATCTACTTTACCTACAATTTATTTGATCATTTCTGGCAAGGTGGCCAGATTTAAACAAACACATGCATACTCCAAAAACAGCCAAATCCATTTCGCCAGATCTATAAACAACAAATACACAGATTTTTGTGGGGTATATAAAAAAAGACACGAGAGCTTTCAAAATCAGGTTGAATTAAAAGTTGCCCATTATGCCAGTGACAAGTGAACACTTTTTATGACTGATTTCTCTCATCACTTCATGAAAGACAACTATCCAAAGAAATGAATAAACCAACAAAAAGTTTCAAAATGTACAACCATACTAGTAATACCCAATGTTGGGAAAAAGGCTTTCTTATATGTGACATTATTGCTAGAATATAAATTGGTATAAGCTTTTTGAAGGGTTATGTATATTAAAAGCCTTAATATATTTATATCTATTGAACTTACAACTTCACTCCTAAGAAATTATCCTAAGGAAATAATTATAAATGTACACAAATATTTAGGTAAAAGGACATTTACTTACAGCATTATTAATAACAGTAAAGGGAAAATCTTCTAAATTTTAAATAATAAAGATCAGTTAAATACAATATACTACATACATAAAAAAGAAATACAAACTAGCCATAAAAATAGTACTGGAGAGTATTTAACAAAATAGAAAAAGTGGAGGGAAAAAAGCAGGTAACAAAACAGTGTGACCCCAATTTAATTAAAAATATATACATACATATGTACTATTTGCTCAACTCCTAAATATACACTTTTCACATTTTAATGTTGTTAAATTATGGTATAACTTACCATTGATATATATAGTATCATAGTATTTTTCTCCAAAAGGAATAAGTGATTGTGATTTAAAACTGATTGATTGTGGTTATCTACTGAAGCACAATCATGGGTAATATTCTTTGTGTATTTCTGTACTTTCCAAATTTTCTACAATGAACATATGCATGTTGCTTTCATAGCGATAAAACAATGTTATTCTTTTTTAAAAAGCACATCACACTGGTAAAAATGTTGTAAAAGATAACATATTTTTATAGCTTATAAAAAAGCTCAAAAAGGATAAGCATAGGTTCAAATAACATTACCAAGAAAGTAACCCTCTGACTTTGGAGTCAGAAAGCTCTGGCCTCAAATCACTGCTCTGTGACACTGGGCAAGTTACTTAACCTCTCTGAGTCTTAGTAGTCTGATCCATAAAATGTGGCACTAAAAGCTAGCTTTCAAGGTTAATGTGAGTGTTGTATACATTATATACAAAATATTTGGATACTCAACACGTGGGTACTTTAGTGACGCACAACACTATACTTATTCCAGAGAATAAAGACTGATTAAAAAAAGATACCCAAAAGCAAGTGGAAAGTGTTAATGTGCAATCCAAAGCCCTTACATATTTCAAAGAGAAATTTATTCTCTAGAAAGCTGATTGACTAAAATATTCCTTATTTATTTTGAAACCTAATTATTTAACACTAAATAAGTTATAGTATATATATACTTCAGGCAAATTATATTACACAAAACCTTAACAATTTTATTTTTAGCAGATAAGAAAAATATATTTTTCTTATATTGAAAAAAGGGGACTTTAAACTAGCACTGTACACATTTTTTATGCTTTGTACAATTTGTAATTAATATCTAATAAGAAACTTGTATCTTGAATATATAAAGAACACCTACAACTCAATAATAAAGAGACAAGTAACCCAATTTAAAAATAGGTAAAGGGGAAAAAAAACTGGGTAAAGGATCTGAAAAGATATTTTGCTTATGAAGATATATGAATGGACCAGCACATGAAAAGATGCTCAACAGCATTAGCTATCAGGGAAATGCAAACTAAAAACACAATGTGATACTATTTCATATCCATTAGGATAACTGAAAAAGACACATAATAACAAGTATTGGCAAGGATGTGAGAAACTGGAGCCCTTATACACTGTAGGTGGGGATGTAAAACGGTGCAGCTGCTTTAGAAAACAGTCTGGCAATTCTTCAAAAGGTTAAACATGGATTTACCATATGGCTTAGCAATTCCACTTCTAGGTAATACCCAAGAGAAATTAAAATATATTCACACAAACATTTGTACGTATGTGTTCATAGCAGCATTATTCATAATAACCAAAAAAGTGAAAACAACCCAAATGTCAATCAAATGATGAATGGGTAAACAAAATGTGGCAGATCCAAACAATGGGATATTATTTGGCAATAAAAAGAAATGAAGTACTGATAAACACTACAACATGGATGAACCCTGAAAACATTGTTAAGTGAGAGAAGCCAGTCACAAAGGACAACATATTGTATGATCCCATTTAGATGAAATATCCAAAAGAGGCCTATTTAACGAGACAGAAAGTAGGCTGGTAGTTGCCTAGGGCTGGAGGATGGGTGGTGGTGAGAAACGGGTCTATGGGGTTTCCTTTTTGGGTGATGAACTATTCAAACTTGACTGTGGGGATGGTTTGCACAACCCAAACCTTTGAATTGTAGACTTTAAATGGGTGAACTGCATAGATCTCAATAAAACGGTTATATTTTTTAAAAAGTGGTATTATAGGCATTTAGTTTTTTTCTTCACCTCAAGATAACAAAAGGTGTTGTTAAATAGCCCATTACAAGAAGAAATTTTCCACTTGGCAGATTCACTGAAGGAACTCAAACGCTGGGCTCTATTTTCACATACCTCCTATTTGCAGCTCTGGACAACCCATTCGCCTCATTTGTGTGCTGACAGACTCAATCTCTTGTACAAGTGGCACTAATATTGTCTCATTGATCCACTAGGAAGAAATGAGGTAATGATTTTACACACGCAATTTTAAAGCATTTCTCAAATAATTATTTTCTTGAAACTATTTTTGCTGTCTTGTACTTGAATATTAACAGAGTATAGTGAAAGAGAATGGAAGTAGCAGCTACCTGAAGTCTAGAGAGAGAGAAGTAAATATGCTAACGGAGTATAACTTGACTAACTTATATTCTTAAATCACATATGCCTATTTTTTGAAGATATAAAACTTACAGTTACATGTTAAGTTTTTCTTAAATTCTTCTTTCTGGGATCATTATACTTAGCTAAAAGGCTCATCTTCAGTTTACATTTCTAGGGTAATTATTCACACATTTACACATGTAGCATTTATACTGGTTTGTGGTTAGTAGAATAGTTTTTAAAACTAAACATAACTTAGATTAACATAACATAACATAACATAGATTAGCTCTCAGCAGGCTCACTCAATCCCCTAACCATGTGGAAAACAGATTTTACTGTATTTGAAACTAGTTTGTGAATATTACAATATTCACTTTAGGACTAGGAATTTCAAATTCCACTTTGCATGGCTGATATCAAACTCATTCTGGGATGTGAAAAGACTGCCCAAGGAAATACCCTATCTAGTTTTTGTGTTATGTGTTTGTTCACAGCAACTTCAACCACCATTTGTTTCCACACTTCTGTTTAACCATAAAGTAGAAGGATGAAAACAAGCTTCAGATCAAATACAAGTCTATACAATTCATTATAAAATTTTTGAATTAAAAAGCCTCTGAAAATGAAGTGTTTTTATAATCTATTTAGCAAGAAAATTTGATATACTGGCAAGACCTGAACTGAATTCCTGTGAAGCTATTTTTAGACTTTATCCTACCTAGTGTGACAGTTCATATGCTGGGCTGCAGAAACATTAATGTGGTTGATAACTGAGTACTAACAAGACCCTGCTAGTGTATTACAAAATATATGGTATATGCATATACTGCTTTTTAAGAAAAACTACAAAAACCCCTAAATTTCAGAACATTGTAGCCTAAGGAATTCAGATAAAGCATTGTGTTTGTATTTCTTCTAAGCTAATACTTCTGACCAAGACTTTATAAATATATTAACATTTTTAGATAAGTGGAAATAAAAGAAAGTAGAGTTCTAGGACATCATTTCACTTGTTCATTCTTCCAACATTTATTAAGTGTATCCTACTTGCCAGCCACTCCTAGGCTGCAACAAAATTATCTACTAGTTCCAGGAGAGAGATCTAGGCCTCATTCCCAGAAAACCTGATTGAGTAGTTCTAGGGCTGGCTCTGGAATTCTTATTCAAAAAAGCCAATTAGGCTTCTGGTTCAAGAAAGTAGGCTACTACTTTCACCACTCCTTCTTCATACCCTATTTAAATTATAGTAAAAGAAAAAAAAAGGGGCTTCCCTGGTGGCGCAGTGGTTGAGAGTCCGCCTGCTGATGCAGGGGACACGAGTTCGTGCCCCGGTCTGGGAAGATCCCACATGCCGCGGAGGCTGGGCCCGTGAGCCATGGCCGCTGAGCCTGCGCATCCGGAGCCTGTGCTCCGCAACAGGAGAGGCCACAACAGTGAGAGGCCCGTGTACCGCAAAAAAAAAAATAAATAAAAAATAAAAAAGAACAAGTGATTTCAACATATTTCTAGAAGCTATACAGTGGGAGGATGAGTGTTGAAGGATCAAACAGTGGAAGAAGCGGCAGCCTCTACAGAATCTAAGTGGAGGGGCTTCCTGCAGTGGAGGAGGGGCCCATTCGCCCCCCGGAATCGGGACAAACGGGTACTACAGAGAACGACAGAAAGAGGCAGGGTTGAAACCAGGAAACTAACTCACTCTGTATATGCAAGAGCTGGCCTTGCCAACCTCTAGGGCAAAGATTAGAAGGTTCTTCTTTAGAAAAATCGAAGAAATTGATATACTCTGAAGTAGCTTCAAGCATATGTTATGTTCTCTAACTCTGAAGTTTTCTGACATTAAGGACCTCATTTTTGCTCCCCTCACATTTCTAGACACATAACAGACTCTGACAGGAAAGCTCTTTGAAAAGTAAAATTGAGATGTTGGGAAAGGGAAAATCTTAGCAACTAAATACACTGTTCCTTTATCCACTCAGAATACACTGATTTACTAAATACTGAGGGAAAAAAATTCCCCAAGAATATGGACACTATATGGTAAACGTCACGTTTATTCTTATATATGTGCCACACATATTGTACTTTTAATAATACTTAATTCTGATATTCTAATAATTAACATTTCTAACTGATATTCTAACAACATACTTTGTACATTAAGAGGCACTAATATTGTCCAAAGAGTAATGTTAGAACTTACATTTCTGAACTTGGCTGTCCATGAATCCATATGATCAAGAAGTTGTCTATTCATAGTCACTCTTGCCCAGACCTATTAAAAATGTTTAAAATGAACAATCAAATAAAATGCCAGTTATCAATCATTCCTTCCCCCACCCTCAGAAATATCTGGAATACTTTGGAAAAAACTTCATGAATATCAATACTGATCTAATTAATATGCAGTAGTTGCTATTCATGCACACATATATATTTAAAATTCCTTACATTGATATGTTTGAAGAACATTCTTCTTGCTTTTAAGAACAAAATTTAAATCCTTTATTTGCTTTTAAACTGATGAAGTTACAGAATATCAAATGTTCTAATCTAAATGTATTTCAAGAGCAAGAGTCTTGTATATGTTAGTTAAGTACAAGTAGATACTTGAGATACCTTTTCAATATAAATGAGTGCAGAAAAATGTTTTAGGCAGGAAAGTAATGTTAACTATGTGTCATAAAGAGTAAAACGTACAATATAATTCAGTTTTGGGTACACAAACTTAAGGAGTCTTTCTACCGTTTAATGTGTGCCAGATTTATGTTTCTAGCCAGTAGAAGTGGAGGTTACAGAAAAAAACGTTCCAGAAGAAGAAAAGACTTTCTAACAATCTGTAAATCATAAATATCAAGTCATTTTAATTTTCCATTTACCTCCTCTGCAGCTTGTTTAGAACTGAGATCAGCTTCATCTTTGTTAGCACATGGGGCCTGAGACCTACAGGCAAGCTGATACTGAAACTTCTTTAAAGTTTGTGCATAATCCCCCATAGAACGACTGTGGTTCCAGAAAGTAGGACTGGTGGAAGGCGAAGTAGAATCTGGGATTCCTACAATGATTAATTTAAAGATTATCAGTGTGTTGTAGTAATTTTCATATCTGGAGCTGGTATATGAACTCTGGGTATCCAGGAACCTAGGCAATGGCAATCAAAGACAAAGCCTTGGGCTTCCCTGGTGGCGCAGTGGTTGAGAGTCCGCCTGCCGATGCAGGGGACACGGGTTCATGCCCTGGTCCAGGAAGATCCCACATGCCATGGAGCGGCTGGGCCCGTGAGCCATGGCCGCTGAGCCTGCGCGTCCCGAGCCTGTGCTCCGCAACGGGAGAGGCCACAACAGGGAGAGGCCCGCGTACCCCAAAAAAAAAAAAAAAAAAAAAAAAAAAAGACAAAGCCTCCTCTCCTCCCTGCTTCCAACGTTCTCTCTTCTTCAGAGAAATGGACTGCTGGTGCTAAAAATTAAAAAGAACATTTTTCTGAGCAGTATCACTTTAAGAGCCATATGCTCTCTAAGTGGCGGAAAGTGTCTGTTTATTTTTGTTGTAAAATTAAGCTTGTTTCATTCTCTAAGACTTTCAAATGATTCAGAGAGAAACAAAAGACAAATTTCTACAGGAAATAAATAGGCTAAGGAGTTCTTGCTTGAATTTTTTGGAAGCTCTTTCTGAATGGGATAATTACAGCCTCTTATTAATAAACTAGTCTTTTGGCTAGCAGCTAAACTCACTCTTCCCTGTACTACACTTTGTTCTATTTATAGTCTGTAGTAATTCCTGCCTTGTATTAAGAGACCATCTGCTGATTACACTTCTAAATTTATAAATTTACTTTTAGGAAATGTAAATAGTCACATTTAGGGACTTAATACTACAGAGGAATCTACCACAGTACTTATCACACTTTAAGGTCTGTTTCTTTCTCCAAATAAAATTTGAGCTGAGGGCAGGGAATATTTTTTTCCCGAGCATCTAGCCCAGTACCTGAATAAACAGCAAATTTTCAACGACAACTATTATGATACTTATGAAGTATTTTTTCAGTTTACCTGATATCAAAAATATCAATTAATATTTCATACCCTCACACAAAAGTCACAAATACAAACTAGTTTTATTTTTTTAATCTTAGCAGAATTTTTAAAAGGAATGACTGTAAAATAATAAAACTGGTTTTCTAGTGATGTTTATAGGCACAAAAGACGAGAAATCATGAAAGGGATATGTGGCAGTATTTCAAGTCACAGCATCAAAACCTTGAAGGTTAGCCAGTCTTGTGCTAGTAGCACTGGTCAAAGTACGTTTCATGCTGGCATGAAAATAAATAATTACATATAATAAAGAAATACCACACTTGGGGTAAAAAAATTTCAAGTAGGACTTCTGGTAACACTGACTTAGAGGAATGAATTAATGTCAAGAAAAGAAGTTTTAGGGCTTCCCTGGTGGCGCAGTGGTTGAGAGTCCGCCTGCCGATGCAGGGGACACGGGTTTGTGCCCCGGTCCTGGAAGATCCCACATGCCGCGGAGCAGCTGGGCCCGTGAGCCATGGCCGCTGAGCCTGCGCGTCCGGAGCCTGTGCTCCGCAACGGGAGAGGCCACAACAGTGAGAGGCCCGCCTACTGCAAAAAAAAAAAAAAAAAGAAAAAAGAAAAAAAAGAAAAGAAGTTTTAAACAAGCACAAATGATTTAATAAATAGGGAATAAAAAAGGAAGGTAAGAGACATGGTCATGATAGAGCACAAAGTTTATCCTATTTTGATTAATTATTTTGACTATTAACTTTGAAAATGATAATCAAGCTTTCTGAGAGAAAACTTGAACTAAAATTTCAATAAAGTGTGGCTTTAGATGACAAAACAAGTTTTATACAGATGACAGAAATATGTTTTTATATCTGTTGTACATTAGCCAAAGTACAAGGAAAATATATATAGCAAGTGACACAATAGGGCTTCTCTGTAATGACCACCACCACCAAAATAGCACAAAACCTGTAGCTGGAGAACCACAAAGACCAAAGAATCAAAGCACAAAGAGATTTGGAAGTCTGGCAACATAACAAATCAGGTAACCTGAAACATCTCCAGATATATATATGCTTATCAAATAAAATATATAATTTAAATGAATAACGGAGCTTGCAATAATGTAAGAGGAAGAGTCAGTGGCTAAAAATGAAGAGGGAATTGAAAATCAGAGTGGCCAGTGGCCTGCATGTGAGCTGATGCCGTGGCTGCTCTGGAGCATTTTGTAGGCTTTGGGAAACCTATCAGCTTGGATTTCAGTGCCTGGGAACTGGAAATGTGGATACAGGTCCAGGAGAGGTAGACAGCTGGACTGAGACCTTCTTCCTGTCTCTATTCCCTGCCCCCTGCATAGAGCCAGGAACCTCAAAGGGCCACATTCTCAGTGGATAAGGAAAAAACATCTGTCCACCGACACCAGGAAATAACAAGGAAGCTTGTCTCTCTTAGGCTGTTTAAAAAGAAACCCCCAGAGATTTAAAAATTACAGATCTATCTTCACATGGGTTTACAGTGCCCGTTTACACTCCCTGTGAGGTTCAGAAACCTCCAAGCCCCAAAATTACTTAAGTTAGTTCAAGGTCAATGATGTTCCTTAGGCACCCGGTAGAGGCAAATATAAAACTGCTAGCAGGAAACAAGGCTTCCATCCAGCCTGCCTAGGACAGAAAAAGCACAGATAAAACTCTTCTGAAGATGAGCTTACCAAAAACAAACAAAAATTACATAAATCACAGAGAAACATGTCTCCAAGCAAACGAGTCAACAAGAAAAAAATGTTAGCATGTAATCTCCAAGAACTTTAGATAACTGAACTACTTGACAGAGACTTTTAAAAAGCATGTTTAAAGTGATTGAGATAGGAAAAAGAATTGAAAACATAAGAACAAAACAAGATACTCTAAATCAGGCATATCTGAAAGAGAACCAAATGAAACTCTGAAAACTGAAAAAAGAAAAAAAAAAAAGACAAAGAGCTCAATGAGTTAGTTAAACAGCAGTTCAGACACCGCTGAAGAAAGAACTATCAGTCCAAGCTGGCTAAAACAAACAAACTGTGGGGGGCTTCCCTGGTGGCGCAGTGGTTGAGAGTCTGCTTGTCAATGTAGGGGACACGGGTTCATGCCCCGGTCTGGGAGGATCCCACGTGCCGCGGAGCGGCTGGGCCCGTGAGCCATGGCCGCTGGGCCTGTGCGTCCAGAGCCTGTGCTCTGCATCGGGAGAGGCCACAACAGTGAGAGGCCCATGTACCAAAAAAAAATAAAAAAATAAAAAAAATAAAAATATTGATAGGGTACAGATCAAAATCTCTAGCCAGAGTACAATTAACTTAGGAAAAAACAGATAACAAAGCCTTTCATTTCACATACTTGGAAATTAAAAGCAACACCAATCACCAATAATACTTCCAAACAATATTTCTAAATAACTCCTATATGTCAATGAAGAAATAAAAATGGAAGTCAGAAAATACCTGGATATGACAAAAATATGTAGAGGGTACATAGGTTCTTTGTATTCCACTCTATAATTTTCGGTATCCTTGAAATATTTCAAAATTTAAAAAGAAGAAAAAGCATGTATCAACAAATAACAATATTGATTTGTTTCTTTGACATTTGTGGCACTTTCAGACAAAATTAAATTAAAAATCAATAGAGAGATTTCAAGTGACACAAAGAGCCATGGTCCAATAACTGGCTTCCTCACTGTGGCCATGCTTTAGCACCTAATGTGCTTTCTGTGAAAGTTCCTGAGGGGGAAAAATCATTACTTGGCTCAATAGCCTAACTTGGTTTCAATAATAGACTTTGTAATAATCAAATCCACCCCAAATAGATTAAGATTTGCTAACACTGCTTCCCAAGGCAAACTAAAGACAAGTTAAAAAATGTTCCGAAAACAACAGCACTTCTGGAGTAAATCCATGCTCTCTCCAGCCTCCCTGCCACACCAACCTTCCCAAGGACTACCTGAAAGGCGACAACTATCACTTCACGAAGCTCTGCTGCGGACCGCATCAAAAACAGTTTTATGACCTCAACTTTTAAACAAATTATAACTTACATTATACGAAAAAGCTTTCAATAGTAATGTACACAAAAGGTTCAAGATTTCTGTTAACTCAGCTATATTTTACATCTTAAATTTTGGTGAACTTAATTCTTCTAACTGAACAAAATACAAAACCAAAATGTATTTCTCTCCTAAGCTACACAAGGTGTATTACTAAAGGACTTAAACATTTATGTATGGGATCAAAGTAGCAAAAATAATAGGTTGAAGATAATGTAAAATGACACAAAAATACGTACATTAGATCTAAATAAAATATATATGTACCCAGCTTAACTCTATGCTGTTTCTCTTCTTCACTTCTAAGAAAAGTATCCAAGGTTCGTAGGTCTGTCATGTAGTCTTCTTTGTCAGTAGGGGAGTTGTAGATGGTGGGTGAAGAACGGTAGCGAGATCTCAATCCACTGTTCTCCACTTGTCCAACAGTGGTAGGGTATGGAGAAGATGGAGAGGGACTATAGCTGGCCAACTATACAAAATAAAAGAACTTTATTTTTAACTGAAATTTCTTTGTTTTGGTTTTTGACTTTCAAAAAGCACACACCAATTAGAATGGCCAAAATCCAGAGCACTGACAACACCAAATGCTGACGAGGATGTAGAGTAACAGGAACTTGGATTCATTGCTGGTGAGAATGGAAAACAGTCACTTGGGAAGACAGTTTGGCAGTTTCTTACAAAACTAAACGTACTATTACTTACCATAACAAACATCCTCCTCCTTGGCATTTACCCCCAAAAGCTGAAAATTTATGTCCATACAAAGACCTGCACACAGACGTTTATAAGAAACTTTATTCGTAACTGTCAAAACTTGGAAGCAACCATGATGTCATTCAGTAGGTCAGTGGATAAAACTGTGGTACATCCAGATGATGGAATGTTATTCAGCACTAAAGGAAATGAGCTAGCAACCCATGAAAAGATGTGGAGGAAACTTAAATGCATATTACTAAGTGAAAGAAGCCAATTTGAAAAGGCTACATATCGTATGATTGTGGAAAAGGTTGGGGTAGGGGGAGGATTTATAAGCAGAGCACAAAGGATTTTTAGGGCAATGAAATTACTCTGTATGAAACCATAATGGTGGATACATGTCATATGTTTGTCCAGACACATAGACTGTACACCACCAAGAGTGAATGCTAATATAAACTATGGACTCTGGGTGATAATGATGTGTCAGCGCAGGCTCTTCTATTCATACAACTCTGCAGCAAGATGTTGATAGCGGGGGAAGCTGTGCCTGTGCGGGGGGCAGGGGTACACAGAAAATCTCTTTTATATTCCTCTCAATTCTGCTGTGAACCTGAAACTGTTCTAAAAACAGTCTATTTTCCAAAAAAGTAATATATGTATATTTTATATTTTTTTGCGGTATGTGGGCCTCTCACTGCCGTGGCCTATCCCGTTGCGGGGCACAGGCTCCGGACGCGCAGGCTCAGCGGCCATGGCTCACGGGCCCAGCCGCTCCGCGGCATGTGGGATCTTCCTGGACCAGGGCATGAACCCGTGTCCCCTGCCTTGGCAGGCGGACTCTCAACCACTGTGCCACCAGGGAAGCCCTATATGTATATTTTAAAAAATGAAAAGCATGAAGAAAATAAGCCATACTTGTAACTCTACCACCTAGAGATACTATAATCCTTTTTCACATTTCATGTATTTTCAACTCTTTAAATGTACATATGTTAATATATTTTTGTTTTTATATAATTGAGGTAATACTCTTTAGCATTATATTGTTTTTTTAAAGTTAACAATTTTTCTATAAAAATCCTTTGTAAATATTCTTACTAGTTATATAATACTTCATAATACAAATCTATCATAATTTATTTTTACATTCTTATCTTCTAGACACTTGGATTGTCTAAAATTTTTGGTTACTGTGAGTAATGTTATGATCAGCATCTTTGTGCATAAATCTTAGCTTTATTTCTGATGACTTCCTTTAGGAGATCCCTAGAACTGAAATGACTTGACCAAAGCATATGAACATTTTTAATACACATTTCCATTCTATTAAATGAAAATGTTGTACTAAATTATACTCCTATCAGAAGAGAATAGATAGGAATACCTATTTTGGTATGTGTCCATCAGCATTACTATTTAAAAATATTTATGATATATAAAATTTTTAAAAATGTATATTTAATTTGCATTTTCCTTATACTTATTAAGTTAAACACCTTAAAAATACAATTACTTGTCAGTAGTATTACCTATTATATTAACTACTTACTCCAATACATTGACAATTTTTTTCTACTGGGGTTTCATGATCAATTTATATTAGTTTGTAATAAATTAAGGATTAACAAATTTATAATATTTAAAGCTGTTTACAAATAAAAAGGTTAATCCTCTTCCACATTGATTTTTCTTTTATTTCAATTAACATGTTAAATCCTTATATATATTATGACTGTATTTGGGTTAGTTTCATTAACTGGTTTTATCTTGCTCAAGGGGCATAATATTTTATGATTCATTTATATTACCTTATTTCATCCTCTCAATAAGTGGTAAATATTATTACTGTATTAATTTTAGGTATAAGAGGTTAGGTAACTTCTCAAGATCATACCAGGACACCATTCTAGTTTTCTGACTCTATTCTGTTCGAAGGCAGTGATTTCCACCATTCTGTCTTCCAGGTCACTCATCCATTCTTCTGCCTCAGTTATTCTATTATTCCTTCTAGCGTAGTTTTCATTTCAGTTATTGTATTGTTCATCTGTTTGTTCTTTAGTTCTTCTAGGTCTTTGTTAAACATTTCTTGCATCTTCTCAATCTTTGCCTCCATTCTTTTTCCGAGATCCTGGATCATCTTCACTATCATTATTCTGAATTCTTTTTCTGGAGGGTTGCCTGTTTCCACTTCATTTAGTTGTTTTTCTGGGGTTTTATCTGGGACATAATCCTCTGCTTTTTCATTTTGTCTAAATTTCTGTGATTGTGGTTTTCGTTCTACAGGCTGAAAGATTGTAGCTCTTGCTTCTGCTGTCTGCCCTCTGGTGGATGAGGCTATCTAAGAGGGACTGGGTCTTTCTCTGGTGGGCAGGGCCATGCTCAATAAAACTTGTCTGCTGATGGGTGGGGCTGTGTTCCCTCCCTGTTAGTTGTTTGGCCCGAGGTGACCCAGCACTGGAGCCTACAGGATATATGGTGGGGCGGCCTCCAGGAGGGTTCACGCCAATGAGTACTTCCCAGAACTGCTGCTGCCAGTGCCCCTGTCCCCACTGTAAGCCTCAGCCACCCCCCACCTCTGCAGGAGACCCTCCAACACTAGTGGGTAGGTTGGTTCAGTCTCCTATGGGGTCACTGCTCCTTCCCCTGGGTCCTGGTGCACACAAGACTTTGTGTGTGCCCTCCAAGAGTGGAGTCTCTGTTTCCCCCAGTCCTATGGAAGTCCTGCAACCAAATCCTGCTGGCCTTCAAAGTCAGATTCTCTGGGGATTCCTACTCATGTTGCCAGACCCCCTAACATGGGGCTCAGAACTTTCACTCCAGTAGGAGAAGTTCTGTGGTATAATTGTTCTCCAGTTTGCCGGTTGCTCACCTGGTGGGTATGGGATTTGATTTTATCGTGATTGCACCCCTCCTACTGTCTCAGTGTGGCTTCTCCTTTGTCTTTGGTTGTGGGGTATCTTTTTTGGTGGGTTCCAGCGTCTTCCTTTCAATGGTTATTCAGCAGTTAGTTATGATTTCAGTGCTCTCACAAGAAGAGATGAGCACATGTCCTTCTACTCTGCCATCTTGAACCAATCTCCTCCAGTTTTCTAACTCTGGAGCTTACACTTCTAACATGTTTTATTGGATCAGAACGATCTGTTCATACAATAGCAAAATGTTGACAACTGTTGAAGATGGGTAATAGATACGCAGGAGTTCACTATACTTGTCCCTTCATTATTGTGTGTGTTTGAAAATTTCCATTATCAAAAGTTTAAAAAGTAATTGTTTCTTGAAAATTTAAAAGAACTCAATGGTAAAACTTCTGGGCCCTAATGTGTTCTGTGGATGTATTTGATTAATAGTTTTTAAATTTTCTTCCTTGATTTATTTAGGTTTTCTACTACTTTGTCAATTTTACCATTTTATTTTTTTTTAACATCTTTATTGGAGTATAATAGCTTTACTATGGTGTGTTAGTTTCTGCTTTATAACAAAGTGAATCAGTTATACATATACATATGTCCCCATATCTCTTCCCTCTTGTGTCTCCCTCCGTGCCACCCTCCCTATCCCACCGCTCAAGGTGGTCACAAGCACCAAACTGATCTCCCTGTGTTATGTGGCTGCTTCCCGCTAGCTATCTATTTTACGTTTGGTAGTGTATAAACGTCCATGCCACTCTCTTTGTCCCAGCTTACCTTTCCCCCTCCCTGTATCCTCAAGTCCATTCTCTAGTAGGTCTGCATCTTTATTCCCATCTTGCCCCTAGGTTCTTCTGACCATTTTTTCTTTTTCTTTTTTTAGATTCCATATATATGTGTTAGCACATGGTATTTGTTTTTCTCTTTCTGACTTACTTCACTCTGTATGACAGTCTCTAGGTCCATCCACCTCACTACAAATAACTCAGTTTCATTCCTTTTTATGCCTCAGTAATATTCCATTGTATATATGTGCCACACCTTCTTTATCCATTCATCTGTTGATGGACACTTAGGTTGCTTCCATGTCCTGGCTACTGTAAATAGAGCTGCAATGAACATTTTGGTACATGACTCTTTTTGAATTATGGTTTTCTCAGGGTATCTGCCCAGTAGTGGGAATGCTGGGTCCTATGGTAGTTCTGTTTTTAGTTTTTTAAGGAACCTCCATACTGTTCTCCATAGTGGCTGTATCAATTTTAGCATTTTTTTCTCCAGAAAAATAATTATTAATTTCATTAATTTTTCCAAAGTATTACTTTGATTCAACAGACACATACAGCATCTATATTCCATACACTGTGCTAAGGAAACAAAGATGAGTAAAAACACATAATCTTGTGCTCAAGGTTATAATATAGTAGAAAACAAGATAATTAAGCAATGTTATGAGCTTTATGTACAGAGCTAATTAGTAGATACTAATAATAATTTTTAAGAAATAAATATAACTTAAATATTCAAGAGTAAACTAGGGTATATCCACTAGACGAGTATTAAGTAGCCATTAAACAGAAATTATGTTTGGGTGGTAGGATGATGAGTGATTTTTTTCTACTAATTTCCTAACTTTCCGTAATGATCATATGGTACTTTTCCCATGAAAACAAAGTAAAACTATTTTAAAAAGTCATATTTACCTATGGGTTATGAATTACCCTCATAATATTTAACTTATACAAAATTTTCTAAATTCCATTACTTGCCAAAATTATTATTAGGTAACCAGTAGTATGGAATTTCATGACAAAGAAATATTATGTAAAAGGGTAAGGGCAGACAATGTGTTGATTTCATTTCCAGACATTTCTCATTTAACTATAGAGATATTAGTCTAACTAGTGTCAGCATCTGAATATGTTACCATCCCAGGAATTCCCTGGCGGTCCAGTGGTTAGGACTCCGTGCTTCCACTGCAGGGAACACGGGTTCAATCCCTGGTCAGGGAAGTAAGATCCTGCAAGCCATGTGGTGTGGCCAAAAAAAAGTACTTGAAAATGTGACCATCCCTCTTTTAACGCCTATTTTATAGCCTTATGTATCAGGCAGGAGTCACAATTTCAAATTTGTCAATTTTGTTTCTATCAAGCCTAAAAATTAAAACAAAAGTCCACTTTACTGTGGGAGATGGTATGAAGGTTTCTAATCCTGTTGAGTAATTCATACTCAAGAGTCAAGTTACATGACAATCCCAGTTTCTAGCTTAGAAGATACTCCAGTATGATGAAAAGTATTAATATTCTATAAGGATATATAAAAGTTGCACATAAAGAAGCAAAGAAAGAGGGAAAACATGAGCAAAGGAAACTAAAGTAGAAAATCATCATAATTTCAACTTGTTTTAAAGACTGCAGAAAGATCCTAGATGGTGAACCTCAGTTCGTTATCTTTTCAAAAGCTAAATCTTTTCTTTTGTTTTAAGATGTGATATAAAGAACTTCTAATTGCTGCCAGGAAATCTGGCTTCTATTCTTAGCTCTTAAATGTGCAATTTGGGCAAGTCAATTATCCACTGGTCCTGGGTTTCTTCATCGATAAAACAAGGAGTTTAGACTCACTAGATGATTTTCAATTCAAACCTCCCAATTCTAAAATGGTAATGTGATTGGCCAAGAGAAAAGAGTCATTACCTTGTTATAACCACTGATGGGTGAGTAGGTCACTCCAGGGCTAAAAGAACCACTGCCACCTGATGACAGACCTTGTAGCTGAGGGCTGTATCCAGTTATACAGCTGGTGGTGAACTTGGGGCTGGTACTGGGTGAGCGAGATGGGCTATAACTTAATACACTCTGACCCTGAATTGAAGGAGAAGGTGGAGAGGGAGGGATTTGGGGTGCTGCCAGATCACGTGGAGGAGTAGTCTGTACAACTAGAAGGAACAAACAAATAATTGTGTGTAAGTATAAGTAAAATTTCTATGAAAACAGATTTCATGAACTGAATCTTTTCCTTCAGGAAAAGGGCAAGTAATAGAGTGACCTGGTTGTTAAATTACATAAAGTATTACTACCAAAGGACATAAGTGGTTGTTTACCATTTCCATAGAGTTCAAAATAAGAAATTGGCTTTAATGTAGCAAAAGTTAGTCATTTAATTTTAACAGTAATTAAACAATGGAACAAACTTCCATGAGACTGTGAATGTTACTCAATTTATATAAATAGGAAAGATAATCATTGATCTTAAGACCATTTATTGTAGAATTGTTTAATACAGTTGAACCAGATGGCCTTAGAAGTCCCTTCTAGCTGAGTCTATGAGAAGAGAAAATTAAATTGAGAAGGATTTATTGACAACCTTTCACCCACCTTTGCAAAAGATATGAAACACTTACCAGCTGTTTTCAACCCTAAAAGTGTTTGCTGTCCAGGGCTAACAACCAGACTTGTTGGTGCCACAGTGTACTTGAAATATCTCCAAAAATCAAATAAAGCATTTAGGCTGAAGAGAAATCCAAGGGCAAGCTCTGCAAGAGAACAATTTATTTATTTTTTAAAAGGGGGGTGGAACATTTAAAGGGGGGAAACAAAACCATGCATACTTTAGCAGATTAACAACAACAAAATTGAAAACTATCTTCTTATTCCTAAGAGTTACCACTTCACTTAATGAATGTCTATTATGTGTAGGGCATTTACCAGTGAGTTTCAAAATATTATCACTAATCCTTACAAGCTTTTACAGTAAACATTTTCACCTTCGTTTTAAAGATCAACCACCAGTTGTAAAGAAGTCAAGTGACTTCTGCAGTAGCTCACAGCTAGTTACTGAAGTCATGATTCTAATTCAGGTATGCAGATTCCAAAACTCTTGCTCTTCCTCTTGCCACACCACTTCCCTATCACAGACTTTAGCTTAATGTATGTATTAGACTTTGGAATTTACTTCAATGGCCATAAGGACCCTTTGTACCCAAGGACTACTGAAGAGCAGACAGAGAGGAAGGATGAGGAAACTGAGGAAGCCATCAATGGATTAGAAATCGGGTTGATCTTGAAAGGTGAAAAAGTAGAGAAGTAGGGAAGGCAATTCAGGGAGACAAATACAAACACAAATCTACCAGCTCCAAACTTTATTTTTCTTCACAGAACTCATGATTATCTGGAATCATATTATTAATTTGATTGTCTCTTCTACTAGAATATTCCTTGTTCCCTTCCTGGTGTATTCCCAGTTTTGGGAACACAGCAGGCACTCAAATATTTGTCAAATAAAGGAATGAATACTAAGCTGAATTAAACTGGAACACAGTTTTTCACTGGGAGTAACTACATTGCAGTGAAAATTAATTACTTACCTATATACCAGAGGGGCCAGTATCTCACATTATAATATAAACTATACATTCTTCCAGTCCTGAAAAAATTAAAAAATAGTAACAAAACAAAACCACACCAAAAATCAAAACAAACACAAAACCTGTGGAACCAACCATTGGCCTCTTAAATTTTCACTTTTTCCTCCTTTTTTGGCTAATTAACTTACATTTCAGTATATATCATTCCAGCCATAGATACATTTAGGAGTCCCCAGGCTAAAACCACTTTCCTAGCTTCTGTTTCTTTTCTCATCTTGATGGTTCTGTCAATAAGGGAAGCACTAGGGTTTGGCTCCCCTTGCATCTGTTCAAAATCAAAAAGCACAAGAATTAATTAAAAGAAACTACTCCATTTAAGAAATCAAACTTGTTATAAGGTAACTAAAAATTGCATCTACTTTTCCTCATCTTCAAATGTCTTTCCTAACTTTTTCTAACTTTAATAGTATATGAAAAAGGAACCCTAAATTACAGCTTCATTGGCACCACATTGTAATCAACAGAGAACTGGCTGTTTCCTTCAGAGAATAATTTAACACTTACAATAAAGAAAAATATCTTATTTTGTAATTTAAGGGTTAGTGGTTATGTTTGCAATTACGCCCTGTTGTGTTTTTGGAATATGTCACAAGGACTAGGCCAAGGGCTATAAGAAATTCAAAATACCAAGTTTTGGGAGAAAGTATTCCAAATAAGATATGTCATTACTCTCCTTCCACATGCTCGTGCATAAGTCATTAACTGCCTATGATCTTTATTTAACAACTCTGCACACGACCGACACACGCCAGAGATCTCTGATTCGTGTTGCTGATAAAATATAAGGATTTAAGTTTGAGAAGGGAGAGTACTCATGGTGTGAAGGGGATCCGGGTGAGTTGGGGAGAGTGCGCAGTTTTGGTCCACATTAGGATTTATTATTTCCTCTATTTTCCTAGGCCTCATCTCTTGCAGACAAGTGTTAAGACTTGTTCCAGATATATGGAGTCGTATCCCACAGAGTAAGAGCAGTACCCTTCCCGCCACCCTGCCCCCGAGTCAACACTACCCAAGGCGGAGAGCTTCCCTCCCTGGCTCTAGCAGCACAAACTTTACGGCTTCTTTCCTCCCTTCCACCACGGGTAGTGGGAGGTCTGGCCACACTCCCCTTTGGCTGAACCCTCGGCAGGTCCGCACGCACGTTAACTCCCACGGCCCGCGTCGACTCAAGAGTCCAAACACCACAGATGACCCCGAAAACGCACCGCGTTCTTCGCCCGCAAACGGCTGGCTCGCGCCACTCTCCACTGCACATGCGCGAAGCCAAGCATTAAGGCGAAAGCGACCGGCTTGTGGAGCTAGTTACAGGAAGAACGAGACTCTCTCTTCTCGCGAGAAGAGGGGAGTGGGGGAGGGATAGGGGCTAGGAGCGTTACCAGGGAAACGGCCGTTGGATTTGTGGCGCCTGCTCAGGTGAGGGGAGGAAGCTGAGCAGCAAAAATTCAGACCAGGTTCTGATCCCGCAGTAAAAAGTAATAAGTGTAAGAAGCTGAATTTCTATATACTAATATAACTTTAGCTTCCTTAGGGCGCTTATGGACACATTTTTTTGGTTGTTTGCGGTACGCGAGCCTCTCACTGGTGTGGCCTCTTCCGTTGCGGAGCACAGGCTCCGGACGCGCAGGCTCAGCGGCCATGGCTCACGGGCCCAGCCGCTCCGCGGCATGTGGTATCTTCCCGGACCGGGGCACGAACCCGCGTCACCTGCATCGGCAGGCAGATTTTCAACCACTGCGCCACCAGGGAAGCCCTATGGACACATTTTAAAGTAGATTTTATTAAGCAGGGTGGCCAAGTGTAGGATACAGAGGACTTGGTGATGGGTCCAGACACCATCAGCAATGACAAAGCATTTCTCATACCTCTGTGTTAAAAAAAAAAAAAAAAAATTAAGTGTTCTGACCCGATGTAAATTCTAAAATATCCGTGTAACGAGGGTGCAGCAGTAACAAGAAAAACCAAATTGTTTTGTTAAAGTTTAGTGGTTTTGAGGGGTTTTTTCCTAAAAAAACCACTTTACTTTTCCTGCATATTCTTTGGAAGAATTTCTAATCCTGAGGAAAAGGTTCATCAGGGAGTTCAGTTTGCTTTTATCTAACAAATGCAAACGCCCACAATGTGCCGCTGAGCCGCGCGAGGATGTGAAAATAAAATCTTCCCTGGTTACCACTTGGAGGAGCTTAACCCGGGGGAGGCCGGTAGGTTCACTAGAAAGGCAGGTGAGGTGGGGCGCAGTGAGCCCCGAGGAGTCGCGGCGGGCCCAGCCCTGGATCCCCGCAAGCTTCCTGGGGGAGGCGACGAGGGCCTAAAGCAGACCGGCATGGTCCAGGATGCGTGCGCAGGGTCTGGAGACTTGCTCGTGGGGATGCAAAGTGTGCCTCTAATAAAAACATCATGCCGTGTCATAATAAGCTAACGGATTGTTACATCTTGTACGTCCCAGTGACCAAAATTTTTTCCTAAAATGCTCCTAAGGTCCAATAGAAGAAAATGAAGTTTCCACGTGGTATTGCATGTTAATGAAAATCTGCAGGTATGCTGTGCTCTTAAAGATCTAACCAATTTTTTTGAAGTGGAGTTTTTATACTTTTTAGATTGCCTTAGCAGCAATGGTGTTTTGCTCTAGTTTTAGATATAGAGATGAACTAACTTGAAAATTGTGCAAATATAGAGTCAAAATTAGAATACGAGTTTCCTCCCCAACCCATGTCTGACTCTTTCGTAAGCAGAAATTGTGCATGTTTGATGTAATTCACAACAGGTACATCTATGTTTTCCCTCTTAATGTAATCTATGAATTACTATGCATTTATTCAAGGCTTAAAAAGGAACATGACTACTACCTAAATTAGATGTATTGTTGGCATTATGTATTAGTTTACTAGTGTTGCCATAGCAAAATACCACAGACTGCGTGGCTTAAACCACAGAAATTAATTTTTTCACAGTTGTAGAGGTTGAAACTCTGAGATCAAGGTGCCAGCAGGATTGGTTTCTCCTGAGCCTTGTGTCTTTTGGCTTGCAGATGGCCCCTTTCTCTCTGTGTCCTCACATGGCCTTTTTTTCCTGTGTTTGCACATCCCTTATGTCTCTTCCTTTTCTCATAAGAACAAGAGTCATTTTGGATTAGGTCCCCATCCTTATGACTTCATTTAACCTTAATTACCTCTTTAAAGTCCCTATCTCCAGTTATAGCCAAATTGGGGCTTGGGGCTTCAACATAGGCATTTTGGGGAACACAATTCAGTCAATAATACATTAGAACTCTGTATGTTAATTTACAATGATATGATATATATCAAAGAGACTGAAAAAAATGGATACCTCAGAGACTTAGATTTTAAAGACATTAAAGTACTTCCCTGGTGGTCCCTGGTGGTCTGTGCTTCCAGTGCAGGGGGCATGGGTTCGATCCCTGGTCGGGCAAGTTCTGCATGCCATGTGGTACAGCCAAAAAAAAAAAAAAAAAGACATTAAAATACTGTATTTATTTATTTATTTATTTTGCAGTACGCGGGCCTCTCACTGCTGTGGCCTCTCCCGTTGCGGAGCACAGGCTCGGGACGCGCAGGCTCAGCGGCCATGGCTCACGGGCCCAGCCGCTCCGCGGCATGTGGGATGTTCCCGGACCAGGGCACGAACCCGTGTCCCCTGCATCGGCAGGCGGACTCTCAACCACTGCGCCACCAGGGAAGCCCTAAAATACTGTATTTAAAGAAAATACTGTGTATACAAGTTTCAGGACAAAAAAAAGATTATGGCAGAATGCACCATATTGAGATATGGGGCATATACCTTAAACTTTCATAGAAGTGATTTAGACAGATCTTCCAAAAACTTAGTAATCCAAGAAATGTTTGTCAGTTCCTGTCATAGTTACTGAAGAATATGTCATAATAGGTTGTCAAGGAAGTTGTCGTACACATGGAGTGAAGTACTTCCCAGTCTTCTTCATCCCTTTGAGCGTGTTTTATTTTCAAAGCAAGAAGCCATCATGGGAGACCTTTTTTCTTTATTTTGGGAGGTGGATCCTCCCCCCATACCTACAAGTTTTACCATTCCAAATCAAGATTATGAATGCCAGAAGGGTGACTCTTGTGAGACAATAGGGATCTTCCTGCTTTGGTATTTTGTCATTATATTGGTCTTCTCCCAACCATTATATTGGTTCTTCTTTCGGGCTTCTGTCTGGGTAGGATATCTTTTTTCATTTTAAATAATATATTTATACTAGGGGATTTTCCATAAAATAAATTTATTTTACATTGGTGAAACTACTTTCTAAAAGTTTGTCTTCTAGTTTTAAAAATAATGCAGTATCATTCTAGAGAACCCAAGAATATAGAAAAGGATGAAGAAGAAAATTTAAACGACTGTAATCCTATTTCCTAGAGATAACCACTGTTAACATTTTGGAGTATGTTCTTCTAGTTTTTTTCTTTTTCTGTATCACAGTATATCTCTCTTCATCTGTCTGTCTTTGATCTTAGATGGTTGGCATTATATTTTATATATTTTTATAACCTGCTTTTTTAAACTTAATATTATATTGTAATCATTCCTCAAATTATATTTACATAGCAGCACTCTTAACGACTACATAATTTTGTCTTATGGTTGCACCATAACAAATCTGCAATTTTGAGATATTTAGGTTGTTCTCAGTTTGTCCAAATGCTAAGTAATACTGGGATAAACTTCCCTACTGGTTAATGACCTCCATATTCCTTTTGTAGCTGTGTAATTCTAATCAAAGATACAGAAGTTGTCATATTTATAGGATACATGTTGTAGGATTTGGGGTTTTTAGAATGAGGCATTACATTCTCCACGTAGAAAAAGATACAGAACTAAACTAAACAGAGCTAACGTCACCACTCTAGACCACCTACTAGGGGAAAAAATGCCATCCTAAGGAGTGAGATAGCCCACTTAATCAGGGCTGTGATGCTCCCACATATTATGAGTAACTGAGGTCTTATAAATCGCTGATGTGGAATCCTTGCTGACCATTAATACCAGGCCGATGACTCATAAAACCACCACTGGGTTTCCCTGGTGGCGCAGTGGTTGAGAGTCCACCTGCCGATGCAGGGGACACAGGTTCGTGCCCCAGTCCGGGAAGATCCCACATCCCGCGGAGCGGCTGGGCCCGTGAGCCATGGCTGTTGAGCCTGCGCGTCCCGAGCCTGTGCTCCACAACGGGAGAGGCCACAGCAGTGAGAGCCCGCGTACCGCAAAAAAAAACTCAAAAAATAAAACCAC